TTGAGGTTGCTGTGAGCTAAGCTGACGCCACGGCACTCTACTCAGGGCAGTAGAGTGAGATTCTGACTCAAAAAAAAAAAAAAATGACCATTGTACTCAACAACGTCAAGGTCATTAATACCCTTAACAAAAGCAATTTCAGTGAAGAGGCAGATAGTCTACTCAGAATTAGCTCAAGAAAGACCAGGAGTAGAGGCAGTAAATATAGATAACTTATGCATGGAGCACTACTATAAAGAGAAAAGGGCAAATGGATGATTATGTTTTTTTCTATGTCTGGAACGTTATCTACCTACTCCCACTTCAACTCTTCTCTCAGTTAACTCTTAATCATGTTTTAGGTCTCAGTTCCAACATCAGTTCAGATCTATTACAAATTTGCCAGACTCCTCATTATATGCTATTGTAGCACCCTGTCATTTTCTTCTTAGCTTTTATTACAGGTAGAAATTTCAGTATGTATGATCATTGTAAACTCCATGACGTAGAACAATGTTGGAGTTGTTCAATTTGTGATCATTTAGGTCAGCACCTCTTCACTTGCATAGGACTCTTTGGTGTCTTTCTGCCCAGAGAGCCACATTCCTTGGATTTCAGCCTGAGAGGAAGGGTAGTACTTCTGCGGGTAGTATATGTCCTAGCAAGGACCTCTTCAGTGACCTTGCTACAAGAGTCAATCTCTTTCCAGAAAAGGAGGTGAGCTCTTACAATAATGGCTTCCATAGGACACGATTTTCTGATTAAAGTATGGCCTCCAAACTTGTGACAATTTTAGCAGGTAACTGGACATTCTTTATCAGAAATCATTCCATGAAAAGCAACATTAAAGGAGTGTCAACCTCTAAGGCTAGACAGAAAGAGAGTCTATGACCTTAGTAAAAGATAATGTTCAGATTGTATTATTAATAACTCTGTTAACCTAAAATAGGATATAAAGTTTTACATAAAATATAAAAATTCATTTTTTAAATTTTTTGCTCAAAATAAAAATGGAGATAATGAATCTTTCATTTTACCTTGAAGCTGCAAAGAAGCTTGTGATTTGATAACCAAAACTGGCATAGTAAGCATGCTCCATGATTGCCATCAACTGAATGCAGTTGTATCCTGTATAAGCAAAGGTCAAATAGAAATTTAAAGCCACATCTCAAAAAAAGTATTGAAAAAAAGGCATCCTTGTTCTAAAGACAACAAATTTTACATACTATCTACAAGCTCTGATCATCTTGAAAATTCTACTACTTTAACATTTCTTGCTTATCTGACCTTCTAACACAAAATTGGACAGTTAATTTCTTAGAGTTATATTATATCTATTTGAAATGTCTTCATTTTATTAAGCAATAAATGATATGCAAATTTATTCTTAATTTGGTCTTAGGATATTAAAGATGCCAATCTACATATGCTAAACTTCAGTGGCACTCGTAATATTCATCTTCAAGATTATGAAAGCTAAATAAAACTGCATTAGATATACTTTTTTATTTTGCCTTTTCACATATATTTCAGTTATTTTTATCATATAGCATAAGAAATATTACCAAATGTATGTTTTTCACAAGGTAGCTTTTATAAAGTCATTATTAATGCTTCTACTTTCCACTATTTTTTGCATCTATAAATTTACTCCAAAGATGCACATGTGCATGCATGTACACACTCATAGATAGATACACACATGCACACACACACACCCCACCTTCCTTCTCCATCCCAATATATTTTGCTCTAATGGTAAATGAAGTGGCTCAAAAGGGTGGGTATTATATTTTAAAAATAGATAATATTTAAAAATATTTACTAATGTATTTTTAATATACACAAATAATCAGTCAAAAAGAAACTTTTGGTTTCTAAGGAAATCTAAAAAGCTAAGTAAATCAGGTTTTTCTTCTTTAAAGTATAATTTGGTCAAATTTTCAAATATGAATATGATTTGATTACTTTGAAGGTTACAATTTTGTAACATACATAGCAAATATTTTTATTCTATCCCCAAAGTACAATTCACATAAGCTTGCCAATTTTCTTAACGTTTATATAAATTCATATTCAATGCCAGTTTCATTTAAATATATAATTATACTTATAAACACTTGCAAACAAATAAGTGGCAAAATAATTTCATTCTTCTTAGTTGATATCTTGTAGCTTTCCATGTACATATTTCAGTATATCATCAATACTGGAACAATTATAAATTCACATTCAGAACTAGAAATTTATACATTTAAAGAAGAATATAAAATTCCCCATGATTTCATAATTTACTAAAGTTACCATGGGTCATTTTATTGTAAAAAAAAATTAATTAACTCTATCAAGCCTGACAGAAATATGAATATAAACTTCTGCTCAAGTAATATAAATCAATTATTATACATCTTATAACAAAATATAGAATTTATATTTTATTTCTGTACTATGTAATAAATATTATCTTATGATCAAGCACCGATTTTTAGTTTTATTATTAATCGTTAGGGCATTAATCATTTCTGGATTTATTTATGTTCCAAGTACTGGGCTAGGTAATTCAGATACAAGGATGAATAAGAAAATCCTTGTGCTGCTGAACTTTCTGCAAGAATCGGGTCATAAATAATTTATCACTCTATAATATGAAATAATATCTCAAATATAACAATTTTAACATAATATCTATTAAACATATTAAGTAATTAATGCTAAATTATCCATACATTTAATTAATTTCAGTTTCTGGAACGTGACTTCACCATCACAGAATCCACACATAACTAAAAACTATAATCGTGACTTGCAGATCTTTCCCGTAACCACAATTTGGACTCCACAGCAGGAGCAGTACAATTAAATATACTTTTTGTCCTGCCTAGACATTGGAGCAGGTGCTAAATATGCTATGAAATTATTTGTTTAAAAAGCACTACCTACAAAATTAAAAATACCAGATTTGGAGCATACTAAATCAATCATTCAGTAGTATATAATTCACTGTCTTGGTTGTTCCCATGCAGACAGGGTCTGTGTCATTACAGTCCAATAAATTAATATCTAGCATAATGTGTCTCACATAGAAGATGTTCCATAAATGGTTGTTAACTAAGTTGTCCAGGCAGGGGCTATATGAAATGACTCTGACATAAATGAGTTCCAGGTACCTTACAAATACAAGATTTTTTCCCTAACAAATAAAATGAGCAGGCTATGATCAATGACCACTTAAATTGATAAAGGTTTTCTCCAGTAGAAAAGTAATTATGCTTACATATTTATCTACAATTTTGGAAGCCATCAGTTCATATTACTTAAAATTGAAATTGGAATAATATCTTCAATTCTTATGCTCTATCTTATTCCATTTCTCTTTTCTATGCTATCACTATTACAGGGCAATTTGAGAAGACTAAAATAAAATGCATTTCTATTACATATTTAATCTCTTAACACAAAAAAAGAGACAGTTGTAATTAGCTTTTCTAATAAGAGAACAGACTCATTAAAATTTTATCTGAATAAAAATCACAGTTATTACTTACCAAGGTCTTTGATTCTTGGTAGTACATTGCATGTAAAATGTTTATAAGAAGCTACCTTTCCTTCATGGGAAGAAATTCCCACATGAGATTCATAAATTCTCAGACTTCTTGGCTTTTTTGGTCTGGAATGCTTAAACTACAGAATATAAAATAGCATGTAAAATTAAACCAGGAATTCAGGTATGGCACTAACTGATCACACATGTTAAATCAAATGGTGAATAAACTTGGACAAACACTTGGAACTGTTCTCACATATAAAAGACACTGGCTACATTCACTAAATTTTCTTTTGGGAAAAAAAATTCTTTTTATGATCCTGTTAATATACCTATTTTAAAAGCAAAATCATGTAATGGCTTATGCCATATCATTGAGTGAAGATTTTTTTTGAGCCTAAGCCATAGAGAAAATATAAGACCCGAGGAATATGTACATAATTATCAAATGCAAAGCATTTATCAACAAACTCCAAAAACTTAAAGGACAGAAAAATAAGATCAAAGATGCATATAATACTTGTAACTAATACAGCAGTAAAAATTACCCTCACTAATACATTCATGAGATAGACTTCCCTATTTCTTGTTCCTAAGGACATCGATCCTGCTTCTAAACCATGACATGGAGAAACATTACATCACTGAAGAGTCTTTAGTAAATCAGAAATTCTAGTTAAAAAAAAAAAAGTAGTATCCCTTACAGATCAGGAAGTAAGCAGTGACTTAGTATTCATTTTTTCCCTTAACCTCAGAAGCATAGGTTAAAACAAAAACTCTCTTCTATCTCTCACTGGCTACACAAAATGGACTCTGATGTATGTATAGCATAAGAGGAACACTATGATGTAAAATACTAAACCAGAGGTGAAGAGAGGTGTTGAACATTACTATAAAAGTTATAAAAGTAAAAATAAATATTCCTAGAAATATTGGAACAGGCATTTATTTAAAGATTTGTTGTTCTCACTTTATATGAGTGTTCTGGATCCCAGTGTATCCAATCATAATTCACATTACCACCTTCACGAGTCACATACTTCGCCCATGGTGAAATACGATACAAGATCTCTCCACTTTTGCTAGCAATAACTACCTAAAAAGAGAACGAGATGTTATTGCTTTAAAGTACTTTCGAAACTCCAAGATAATACAAAATAGTTTGAATACAGCCATAAGCAGAAAAAGAGGAATGAGCTTAAGATTCTAGACCACCACACAGATGGGTGACCCTCAAGAACATATCTAAATTCTAAAGACATTGCTTTCCTCTTCTCCTATTACTATATGATCCTTAAAGTTATTTCCAGCTTGGATATTTTATGAGTCCCTGGTAATTTCCATCATTGCAAACCAGCCAGTGGAGTGGTTAATTAAACATACAGTAGATACTAAAAAGACAAGGATTATTATTTGGAAGCTGCTGTCAATAAATCAATCAACAGAAGGAAATAATCCTACTCTATTAAAAAAAGATAAGTGAGTTATATCATCTCTTTCTTTTCCTTTTCATAGCAATTAATGATAATATTTTCAGGAAGCTAAAGGAGAATAACGGGTTTGATTAACATTTGTACACACATACACACACATAAATTTCTACCCTTCTCTTCTTTTATATCCTATTTCAAGTGTTCTTTACCATATAAAACCAAACACTATCCCCTTTAACCATCTATTTCCACATTTGCCAAGAGTACCACTATTGTTTCCAATAATAGAAAATAACAATAAAAATGCAAATACAATTTTACTGAATCCACCATTTTAGAGTTAGTACTGAACAAAGGATTTTGAATTTATTCAGCCATATAAACAGAGCCTCTAAGTGATCAAAACTGGAACTTTTTTACTAAGTTATCTTTTTAATTGAACTTTCTAAAAGCAGGTAAAATATAATCAAAAATGTTCAGATTAGGAGCTATATTATGCTCTCAGCATTGAGAGAGAACATATTTTTCAAACTCCTTTAATAGAGGAAAGCTTAAGTACTCATAATTCTTAGTAATTAAATATTTGTATAATGCTTTATAGTTTAGAAAGGACTTTCACATTCATACCTCACTTGATTCCAGAAAATCTTTATGACCCAAATATTAAGTGAGATTGAGTTGCCAAAAGTCCCAAAATCACCGAGTGGCAGACACACAGAGCTGCCAATATGCGCTTGCTTTCTCTAAAAAGGATTCCACAGTATTTCCTTCAGAAAGCAAAGAAGAATAAATTGTGTTTTACAATGAAGGGGTCAGGTGAGTGGTGAAAGGGATGTCTACCTTACATGAATCCAGTTCTTTCTCCTTCTTCATTATTCCTCCTACTTAAGAAGCTGATCATAGCCAACTATTCCTACTATTCAATAATTATCACAAAGGCATAAATCAATAGGACTAACCCACTTCGAGATATTTTAACACAAAAGTGACATGTTTGAAACAAAACCCTTTGCTTACTCATCAACCCAGAACAGGTTATAAGGGAACAAAATACTATAAATTCATTTTCAATGAATAGTGCTCTGCCTAATTCATCCATCTATCCTTTCTCTGTTTTGCAAATGGCCCTACAACCCCTCCAAAGGTGGATCATAAATTAATAATTGTTTTTAAAAGAGAGAGTGTTTGAAATTTTAAGTAAAGAACATGAAGAATCTAATTCACGCTTAATTTAATTCCCATAACTTTGGAACAATTTGTTTATCTTGTTGTATACACAAGTATATTCAGAAGCTACTCAGTGATGCGTTTTGGAAGGAACAGTTCCTCCATGGGTCTCTGATGCTTCTATGTCTTTTCCTGAGTATGCCAAGAATGCAAGGCCCTGACCATTGTTAATGAGGGCCATTTCTCAGGGTTGTTTTTGTAGCCAGCAACCCTGAGGGATGAAATAATGTCTCCCTTGAAGACACAGAGCTGACTTGCTTATTACTTGCTACAAAAGAATTGATTCTCCATGTTCAATATTTCCCTGGTATAATACAAACCCACTATGTGAATAGTAGCTATCTGGGCCATACAGTGTCACCCCTATGGGCTTAGAAGACAAGGGGAACCAATGCAAATATGATGTTCATACTGCTCACTGGGCTATGAGTAATAAAATCATTTGTCTCTGACTTAGGAGTTCTGTGTTTTCTGCCAGAATCTAGGAAGCAATAACAGGTTAGCGTCTAAGCTTTTAGGTAGGGTAAAATCAAATCGCAGACCTGACAAAGAAGTATTAGTTCATTCACTGAATGACTTTAATATTTTTGTTTCTGAAAGTTCTATTTCTTCCTTCCCTAATAGCCATTTGTACTAGGGGTGCTTGCTGGAATGGAGACTTTTAATTTTCCCATTTCCTCCTTCTTTCTTAGTATTAGAGTTATAGCCAAATGATATGTAGAAAAAAGCTTTCCACCAAATCTGGAACACTTAACTGTGATTGTTACATAATAAATTCCTCTATTCTTTAGGCCCCTGAATTTTGCCACTATTTTTGTTACAGTAATTTAGGCTTTCCTAACTTACACACTTGTCTATGGTAGCCACTTGACCTTGCTTTTGATTTTTTGTTCCTCGATTGTCATGATATTGGTAACCAAATAAGAATATTATAATAAATCTAAATAAATCTAATCTGAGAGACATTCCAAAGAGTAGAGAATATAACCTCTATGGACTAAACTTTGCTTATAAAATTTGGGAGTTGGGGGAAGGGAGGATACATTTTGTATTTTTGCTATGAGTTCAGATTCCACATGGAAACATTTTAGATGAGACAGACTTTATATCATTTAATTCACAACCTCAAAATATCAGCACACTATATAGCAAATTGAGAAGAAATAGCTGGCTTGATTCATCTTCCAACAGTCAGTCTAGCAGCTGATGGGTAAAAAAGTTCACTTGATACTATCAAATGAAAAGTCTCATATACTGCTAGTGTGAGTATAAAATATTAATAGTATAAAATCTCTAAATAGCAACTTGGCAATATGCATCAAACATTTTAAAAAATATAATTCCAATGATTCAGCAATACTAATTATAGCAGTTTACTCCGGGGGAATAATTAGCGATGTGACCAAAGAAATATATCCTTGTCTATTAATGTTAGTGTTACTTCTATTAGCAAAAACTGAATGACTGAATAATGTACAGCTGTTAAAAATTATACTATTGAATTATATTGAAGGCTGCAAAAAAATTCTATGAACTTATAAGAAAGAATATATTGTACCTAATGTAAATGCACAAAATCTTGTAACCTAAAATATTTACAAAGATAGAAAAAAATAGAAAAATTTTTATATGATTAACTATGGGTGGGAAGATGGTCCGTAATCACTGTTTTCTAGTAACGTTTCTATATTATCACTGCGTTTCACTTTTATAGCTTCTAGATTTTGAAAACATAAGTGTCGTAATAAGGATTACAAATATATGAATCATGTAATCACACACACACGTGTAAAGAGTTATGTTACTCAAGTTGTATATCCTGTGTACCTTAGGTATATTGACACAATGTTAAAAACATAAAACTTAAAAAAATATTGAATCACTTGAAAGGCATATAATAATGAAAATGAAACCACTATGAATTTTATAGGCCAAATACATATTTTGTGAGATTATAAAATTTTATAACAGTTTTAATTTTTAATAGTTTTAACACATCCCTTTTAATGATCCTCTTTGACTTGTGGGAGCTTACCATTAAGACAATTGTTAGATTGAATAAGGAACTGAATAAAAGAAATCTCTACCTATGTAAAAGTCAAACTGACTTAGGGAACTGTTTAAAGTCAAATTTTATGTAGAATATGTCATTTAGAACTCAAATATACAATATAAGAAACAGTAATTGATGATGACAAAGTGTGTGTGGTGTGTGTGTTCATTCATGTAGGGATATCTTTTGAAATGCTTCTTGCAAAAGAGTATTTTTCCATGCACTGGAAATTACTAAAATGCTCCTCAGGTGGCCAACTATTTTATATAAAAACATTGGATATGTTCAGCTGGTTAGAAGTAAGTGTTAGCATACTTTGGAAGATGATAATGAATGTAACTCTAGGTTTTGTGATTGAATGCGTGGCAGAATAACAGAAAAGGCACAGATATTCAATAATATAATTCAAATTTCCCAAATTATACTACCAAAGTTCCTTCATGTTATGAGGAAAACCTTTTATTTCAAAAAAAGAATTCCTTAAAGCACAGTGAAAAAAAGATATTGATCAAGATAACTATTTGATAGGGTATAGGTCAAAGTGAATGATCAAAGTCATTTCTAATTTATAAGTCAATGTTCTTGGTGTCAAGAACAGAGTAAGCCAAGGACAATCTCTTCAATAAATGGTGCTTGGAAAACTGGATATCCATATGCAAAAGAATAAAACTAGATCCGTATCTCCAGCCACATATAAAAATCAAATCAAAATTGATTAAAGACTTAAATCTAAGACCTGATACTAGGAAAGCACTAAAAGAAAACATTGGAGAAACGCTTCAGGACATTGGTCTGGGCAAAGACTTCTTGAGTAATACCCCCAAAGCACAGGCAACCAAAGTAAAATTGGACAAATGGGATCACATCAAGCTAAAAAGCTTCTGCACAGCAAAGGAAACAATCAACAAAGTGAAGAGACAACCCACAGAATGAGAAAAAATATTTGTAACCTACCCATCTGACAAGGGATTAACAACTAGAATATATAAGGAACTCCAACAACTCAATAAGAAAAAATCAAATAATCCGATTAAAAAATGGGCAAAGGATCTGAATAGACATTTCTCAAAAGAAGATATACAAATGGCCAAGTATATGAAAATGCTCACCGTTAATCATGAGGGAAATGCAAATCAAAACTACAATGAGATATCATCTCACCTCAATTAAAATGGCTCTTATCAAAAAGACAATAAGGAATGTTGGTGAGGATGTGGAGAAAGGGAAATCCTCATACACTGTGGGTGGGAATGTAAATTAGTGTAACTACTATGGAGAAGAGTATGGAGCTTTCTTCAAAAAACTAAAAATGCAACTACCATGTGACTCAGCAATCCTACTGCTGGGTATATATATCCAAAAGGGAGAAATTCAGCATATCAA